GACGTGGGGGGGGAGCAGCTGGCTCCTCTCCGGCCCTCCTGCCCCAGGGGAGAAATGGGGTTAAACAAGGCAAGGCGTGCCAGGAGAGCCGTGGGGGAGGAGGGGAAGGAGCTCCCCGGCTACTGGCCTCCAGCTCAGGCGGTACCCACTGCTGCCAGGCGCGGGGCTCCAGGTGAGGCGAACGCGCTGCTCCGAGGAGTCGATCACCTGCAGGTTCCCCACAGGCTGGACTGGGGCCACCTCTGCAGCTGGGGGGGCAACAACAGAGAGGGAATGGGTCAGAGGAGTAGAGACTTGGCTGCAGCTGCCAGGCCAGGTGTGCAGAGGCCCCCCATTGGGATCTGGGTGTCCTGGCCCAGGTGGGGAGCACTGGGCTGGGTCCTCAGCTTCCTGTCAGGGCTTGGAGCCGCACCATAGGGCCTGGAAAGAGCACTCCGGGCTGCATTCCTGGATCAGATTGCTGCTAATTCCCTGGCCACCGCCAGATCCCAAAGGCATTGCCCCCAAGCTCAGGACACAGACCTTAGCACAAGGAGCAGATGGGAGCTCCAGCTCCCTGCCCACACCCCGCTGGGAGGGCACCACCTGGTACCAGGGCACCCTGGGCAGTCACTAACCCCACCCACCCCACAGGGATCCAGGCTTCCCATGGCACCAGCACCTACGTGTGGTGACGACAATGGAGACAGGGTCACCCTCACGGTTGCCAATCAGTGCTGTGACCTTCACGGTGTAGCTGACCCCCCCCTCCAGGTTGAGAATGTCAAAGGAGCTGGTGTCGCCAGAGACCAGCTTGCTCGATTCGGAGCCCCCTGCAAAGGAACAGAGGGTTACCGTGGTCCCCAGAGGGGGCAGGGCTGGCTGCTGGCAGGGACACAGGCCTCGCTCCCAGTGCCAGGAGCAGGGGAGACCAGGGCCAGGCCCTCTACTAGCTGGTGATGGCGAGTGATTCCATCTCATTAGGGGAGTGAGAGAGTCATGTCCTGAGGCCCAGCACCGTGGTTTGTGCCACTCAGGCTGTGGCAGAGAGAAGAGGTGCCAGGGCTGGAGGCAAAGGCCTCTGTCCTTCGAGCATGGGAGGAAGGGGGTGAGAGGCACTGCAGGCCAGGGCAACCATGGGGCTCCTGGAGTCAGGGCAGAGATTTGGGGATGTGGCTGGGTACGTTACCATCTCGCCGGCTCCACACCACCCTGTAGGCAGTCGCCCCAGGCACTCCAACCCAGGTGACCCGGACAACGTTGCTCCTGGACGAGAGGACCTTGAGGCTGGAGACCATCCCCACCTGCTCAGGAGCTGCGACAGAGGGCGGACAGGAGGCCTGGGTTACGAAGAGCTCAGTCCTCCACGGAACCGCAGCGGGGGGAGGCGCTGCACCTGCAGGCCAGGCCTGGCCTCACCTGTTCTCACCGGGATGGTGACAGGGCTGCCTTCCCTGTCGCCCACCAGGGCCGAGACCCCAACGACATAGGCAGCCCCGGCCTGCAGCCCCTCGATGCTGAAGGAGGTCCTGTCGGCTGGCAGGACCCGGGAGATCTCCTGGCCTGCAGGAAAGAAGCACAACCTGCAGGGGTTGGATTTCACTGGCAGGACAGGCATGGGAGGCCGAGGGCAGGCTAAGCTGCTGTGCAGAGACAGCCCAGGCCAAGATGCTGGGGCAACCAAAGAGGACTAGTGCCAGCATTTCCTGGCGGTACCTCATCCAGCGGGAGGGAATCAACAGCAGCTGCCATTTGACTGCAACTCCCTGCACCCATCTGGGAGGAGCAGGGGCCCGGATTCCAGTCCGTGCCCTCCCCAGGGAGCAGCGGGATGGTGCCTCCTTACAATGGGGGGTCAGCCAAGCACCAGCCATTGAGCATGCAATGGTCAGACCAGGCCCCACCCTGCCTGCAGCGGGCACCGGGCTGCATACCTCCGGCAGCAGGATCTGCTCTATGGGGCTGCAGCTTATTCCCAGGTGGCCCGAGAATGGGATGTGGCAGCAACATCCCCAAGCCAAAGGCCCTGCAGGCTCTGAGCTGCCAGGAAGCAAAGAGGATCCTGTCACCGGCTCTAAGCAAGAACCCAGGCCCAGACCCCAGTCCCCTGCTCTAACCACTAGAGCACGTTGAGGCAGAGGCAGATGGGTAATGAGGGCATCCCTCACGGCAAGAAGCCAGTCCGGATAGCCCCACCTCAGTGGCCCGGCTGAGCCCACACGCATTCAGCACACCTACCATCACTCGCCCGCCATGTCAGCTTGTAGCTAGTCGCCCCAGGAAGCCCACTCCATGTGACTCTCAGCTGGTTGGGTCTGATCTCAGCCACCCGCAGGTTGGTGATGCTGCCCACAGGCTGGGGACCTGCAGAGACAGGATCCCAGAGACTCGTCTCTCATGTCCGGTCCCGCCCTCCTCCATCCCTGCCAGCCCAGCCAGGGGGCAGGAACAGATGGGTGTCTGTTCTCCAAAGGCACCGCCAGCTGTGCTGAACGCCCAGCTGTGCCTGCTGCTGTGGGGAGGGAGCATGGGAAAGGGGCTAGGAAAAGAGTGACAGACCCCTGTGTGAAGGGACAAGGGCCCATCTCCCTCCCCCTGCCTCCCCTCCCATGCCCCAGTCAAAGCCCTCAGGCTGGCTCCATAGGAAGAGCCCAGTCCAGCCTCCAAGGGGCTGATGCAAGCTGGTCTCAGCTCTCACCAATGCGGATGCTGAGGGGGACGGCGCTGCCCTCACGCCTGCCAATCAGGGCTGACACGCGCACGATGTAGGTGACCTCCTCGCTCAGGTCGTCAAGCTCCAGCATGGTCTGGGTGCCTGGGATCTGCCTGGTCGTCTCGCTGCCATCTGCAGGGGTGACAGAGCTGGGAGGTTCAGGATTTCCTGAAGCTCTGATGTCACCAAGGGACCCTGAGGTGACATGCCGCCTACCCTCACACCTAGGCACGGCACCTCCACCCCGAGATCAGGCCACGCTGACTCCAACTGCCTCCTTGGCCTCTGCCCCCAGCTTTCCTGGCTGGGAGCGGGGGCGG